ATAATAATAATAATAATAATAATAACAATAATAATAATAAGAATAATAATAATAATAATAATAAGAATAATAATAATAATAATAAATTAATAATAAATTAAAAATAAATTAATAATAAATTAATAATAAATTAATAATAAATTAATAATAAATTAATAATAAATTAATAATAAATTAATAATAAGTTAATAATAAATTAATAATAAATTAATAACAAATTAATAATAAATTAATAATAAATTAATAATAAATTAATAATATATTAATAATAAATTAATAATAAATTAATAATAAATTAGTAATAAATTAATAATAAATTAATAATTAATATTAAATTAATAATTAATAATAAATTAATAATAAATTAATAATAAATTAATAACAAATTATTAATAAATTAATAACAAATTATTAATAAATTAATAATAAATTAATAATAAATTAATAATAATATTAAAATAAGGAACTTGTTAGATAAAGATGAACAGTCGACTCATTGAATTAACTCTCGTCTAACTCATCTTCATTTGAACTTAGAAATCTGCAGCAGGCACTGTAAAAATTTATATATACAAAATAATATGTTTAATAACATCAACACATTTTACATACCTTAAGATGTCTTCCTCATTATCCATTTTCACTCCTAGACATTTGGCTTCAACTATTTTATTAAACATCTTTCTTAATTTAATGAGGCATTTATAAGTAGATATCTCCATAGTAAACCTAAATAAAAGAAACGAATATAAATTATTATGCAATAAATGAAATTAACAATATTTGTTTTGAGTTACTTACTTTAATGAGCCACGCACTATTATTGTGCATTCATTATCACTTATTTTAATATTCTCTCCTAATTCTTTGAACAATAATAAGGAATTTGGCGAGACCATTGTGGAATCATCAATTCTATTCCCACATATTTTGTAATAAACGAAGAAACTAAAAATATTTAAATTTTAAATACTATTCACTCGTATTTTAAACATTAAACATTAAAAACATACTTAGACATAAATGAACGTCTTCCAGAATTTATAGAATTTTTACAGAAATGTACTCTTTTATATTCTGTAGTGTCTAACTCTTGTGAGGTATATACTTTGTTTCCACGAGAATGTGTTCTTCTACAAATAAATATCGAAAATACATTTTTAAAGCTTTTTCATTTTTTTTTTAATTTAACTTACAATAGGAGTACTATGTTAGGATAGAGTGCACCAGCAATAACAGAACGAACAATGCTTAAGTTATTTGAATTTATATTCAACTCAGCTTCACTACTATCAGATGTTTTTGTGAATCTACATATAATAAGAAAAAAAAACAGTTTTAGCTATATAAAATATGTTTTAAGTAATTTTTTACCCTGATACTGAAAGCGAACTTGTAAGTTGCTTTTTCGTTTCTATAATATCATCCATTATTGCTTGGTTAACTGCATGTTCGTCTAACTTTATGCCTTTACGCATACTGCGAACTATGTTATGTAGCAAGATTAGATCGCTACATGAATCCTCAGCAAACTTCGATTTCGTATAATATACCTCGTTGCCTCTCTCTTCTTCCTCAAACGGAGACTTGTAGAGGAAGCTTGCTGCAATGGTCGTTACTGGGTCTAGACATTTGAAAATGGCGCCATATAAGATCATTTTAGCTAACTGTACTTCAATAGGTATAGTTGCAATACAGGACCCCATAGGTGTTAGCTTTTCATTTTCATCTAAACAACCAATTCTATAATTATAGATAGATAATTATTATACTTTTTTTTGGATTTTACACTATTTTATATAATAGTTTTACATAATTTTTGTATATTACTAAAGATAGATGAAATTTATATACTTTTCAAAAACTAATTTAGAACGTGTTTTGAAAACTAGTAAAATATTTTTTAAATATAAACTTAATTTTATATTAAGACTTTAAATGTAATAAGTTTTTAGATATTTAAATTTTTATATATTTTTCCAAATAATAATTTTGTTTTTCAAACGAGCCAATTGATCAATAATTGAATAATTTTTTTTAAAAAATTATTTTTAAAGAATTTATTTATTTAAACCAATATTTCGACTGTATTCTTAATTACAAAGAAATAATTATACAATACAAAACATATTCAGCATAAATTAAGAATAAAATTTAGAACATTTTCCATGATTTCCATAAATCGTCCAATATCCAATATTTACTAAATTACATTGTGTTTAAAGACCTTTACTATAAAAATAAAACCAAACAAGCTGTATTTCAAAAACAATGTCCCAAAACCGGCTTATTTAAATAGCTAGTTTGTATACTAAGTGGTTAGGTTTCTTCGACTTGTTTTGGTTGATTTTAATTTAAATCTCACCCATCCTTAATTTGTTCTTACTCCTAAACAATCTCTTCTCCTATCACAATACCATCACCTATTCACTTCCCAACCCATGTATACGTTTTTCTAATTCCTTTCATATTATGTATTTGTATAATATATGGTATCTCTGCGGGCTACAACAACAACAACATTGTACGCCAATTTTTAATTCATTAACTATGCTTTGAGTTGATATATTACACGTCGTTATACTTAAATGGGTTTGGAACTTATGGTGATATAAAACTGTTTTTTGAAAAAAGTTCAGTCATGCTTGTGGAAACTCTAATTTTTCTTTATATTTTTTTTATTTATTTTCAGGAATCCATTTCTCATTATGATCTTCTTTCTATCACACACATTAATTTTCATGGAATACATAAAAATATATACAACAATATACATAACATATATACAATATAGAAATAAAGTAAAATATAAATAAAATAAATATAAAAACAAATTGATGTATATGAAATAAGTATCTAAAATATATATAACTTAACTTTATGTATAAATTATGTGAATAAAATTATGTACATTATGTGTTATACATATAAAATTAAATAAAAAGATTATATGTGCAAACATTGTATACTTACACTTTTAATAATTCAATACCATTGTCAACTGCCTTGGCGAACGGTGGATCCATAAGATTATAAAAAAACTCCTTTACGTTATCTATAGCGAAAAATTTTAGACGAAGTATAGCATCTTGCAGCTGTGTTCTAGTTATTTCGGGCGGAATTTGCATAGGCATAGTGTTTTCCCTCGCTCTAAGAATTGTGATATATATATATATATATAAGTAAGACGCATATTTGTGTATTATTAATTTTATTACCTAGTATACAAATGATAGCAGTAACCAGCTTTTAAACGACCAGCGCGACCTCGCCGCTGCTTAACATTGGATTTGCTCACCCAAGTTTCTCGTAGATTAGCAATATTGGTGCTAACATCGTATTCGTTAATTTTTATTCGTCCACTATCAATAACATATACAATATCTTCAATTGTAACTGATGTTTCGGCAATACTTGTTGACAATATTATTTTTCGTACACCTTTCTCAGGAATTTTAAATACTAATTGCTGCTTAGCAATTGATAATGTAGAGTGTAAATAATATACTACTATTCTATTTTGGTATATTTTATTGTTGCGCAGAATTCTACCTAAATCAGTAATTATCCGTATTCCGGGTAAAAATACTAAAATTGCGCCCGAATCCGTTTGCTCACATATATGATATATTAAGCATTCTATTAATTTTATTGATGAACAGCCTTCAGAATCTGGATATTGTAATATATCAGCTACGCGTTGACCGTGCGTTTTTTTAATATTATTCATATGAGGCATTATCATATTTCTGTAATGAGAATCGCTGAAGTTATCCTTGTTGAAAAAATTTTTAAACGAAGTTCCTTTTGCTATTAATTCTGCTAATATGTCCTCCAAATAAATGCTTTTGACAGGATGCATAGTACCTTCTATTCTCAAAACTTTACAATGTTTATAGTATTCTATAAAACATTTTTCATCAACAGTCGCGCTCATTAAAATAAACTTCAATTCTTTTCTGATTTCAATGATCTGAAAAATATTAATTCGATTTTAGAGTTAATTTTTAAGACACATCGAATTATTATATAGTTTATAATATAAAATACAACTAGAATATGAGTAGCAATATCTTATATGTATATATTATAAATTTATATGTATATATTATATATTTATATATTATATATTTATATATTATATATTTATATATTATATATTGATATATTATATAGTTTGATATTTAAACAAATATAAAACTATCATTGAAGACGGTTTTTTAAGGTTTTTAAGTATTAATTTATATAACTTTTTTTCTATAAATTTACTTGAAAACTATAGCTTAGAAACTAACCGACAAAACATAGAAGTAAGAAATTCAATATATAATTTTAATTGTCTATATAAAATGCAATAAAGTGTATTGTTATCCCTAATAGTCTGTGATAATGGCAGACAAACTTACCCGTTTAAAGTTTAAATGAAGTATATAATCTACTATAGTTGGAAATAATATGAACAATAACCAAGAACTTTTTTTTAATAATATACATACTGTTTAATAGAAATACTAAAAATAAGACAGGCAATAAAATATTATTATAGTTGTTAAAATGCAACTTTATGTAGCATTCTTAACCTTTTTATTCCAATTGGAATCGCAGCATTACGCTATGCGAGATAAAAATAACTTTTACTATAGAAAGACATAAAATAAAATAAAATTGTATTTCTTACCCGCTTAAGCAGCCCTAAAAGAAGATCTACTTCTATTCCTCGTTCATGAACTTCATCTATGATAACAACATTAAAATCGTTTAATAAGAAGTTCATTTGCATTCTATGGAGCAAAACACCTGTTGTACAGTAGAGGATGGAACCAGGACCTCTCGGAGAAATACTAAAATAAAAAAAAAAAACATTAATCCAACTAAATTGATATATAATTTATAACAGTAATTACTTTTGCAAACGAATTTGATATCCAACTGAATTTCCTATCTTGTCACATCTCTCTGCCGCGACTCTTTGAGCTATTGATATAGCAGGAATGCGTCGTGGCTGCGTGCATACGATTCTGCATTCATCTGCTTTGCCATTTTCTAAATACATATCTAAAATAATCTGCGGAATTTGTGTACTTTTGCCGCAACCAGTATCTCCTAGCACCAATATGATGTTATTTGTTGTTACCGCCTCTTTTATGATATTCGCAGCCTTCATTACAGGCAATTTCAACCTTTGCGCATAATTTTCGTTGTATTTGTCGTTAAGCGCGAAATTATTAAATTGCGTTGTTAAATTTTGTATAAGAGCTTTTTCGTAGGAAATCTTTAAATGCCGATGCTCATGTTTGTCATATTTAATTTGAAATAATTTATGCGCTTCTTCTAACTCAATACTTTTTGCTTTGAATTTATCTAAAACTATATTCAATTCTTTTCGAAAACTTTCAGTTATTTTTACAATAGGACATATATAATAGAATCCTTCTTTCTTTATTCTATTACTCATATTTAAGATAATTTATTAAACCAACCAACTTCTTAAAATAACCAATTCTGAAAGACCGATTCAAAAGCTGTCAGTCGAACTTTAAAATTTTTTTAGTGCTGCCATATGTAAAAGTTTTTTTTTATGACGTCTTGATTTATGTACATATATAATATTTTTGCCATGTGCGAGTTCGAGCAAATTGAGGTAAAGTAAATTAAAATTTCGTAGGAACTATTCACAGCGCACTTATGTATAAGATGTTATATGATATATATATGTTATATGTATATATGTTATATGTATTATATATTATATATAGATGTTATGTATTATATATATATTTATTTATTGCACTTATTATTTTTGGTTAAAAATTTTTAAATTTATGTATTTATTTATTAAACATTTTATAAAATTTTCTTAAATGGTAATACCTAATTCACCTAATTTTTATTTAATTTACCGTACATGATAGTCTAATGAATAACAACATTCGCTGCCATACCTACATAACTTACTATTTCACTCAGTTTGCTACCAATTTACTCGAACTCGCACACGGCCTTTATGTTCGTTTTATTTTAATGTAATGTATGTAAATGTAGTACAATTTTCATTATAATTTATTTTTGTATTCTTAATCTTTGTAGTTTCATTAAAAATTTACCTATGACAATTTAAACAATTTTTCATCTCCATCCGCTGGATGGACAGACAAATAATTATTTATTAATATTTACACCTTTTTATCAAATATTTTGTGATAATGAAATATATATTGTAGTATATTCGATCATGGCAACCCTGTATAAAGAAATAGATAAAAAAGGAAATATACGAAGTGCGTAGTTGTTCGTCGTTGTGATCAAAGGAGAAAGCGTGCCATTCCGTATAAACTATTATTATTATTATTAAATTGTAAATCTATATAACTTTAAATCAATAAAGTATATAACATATATCATTATTTTACCTTCAGATTATACTTTTATATAATAGAAATTATACAATTATATTAATTAAAGACGCAAATAAATAATGCATTCATTAGATACAAACACAAAGAGCTTTTCCATATCTAAGAATACACTGTAATTCAACATACTGCTAAAAGATCTTGTTTATTTTATATTATAAAGTATTTAATTTTAATAATAAAATATATAAAATAATAATAATTATTTTAAAAAAATTATATATAACATCATTAATTTTAATTAATAATAATATGACTTCTTTAATAACTCTTTACTTTAAGTTTCTTGTAATGTTTTCTATTCCTTTTTGACATTTTTTCATTTGCTTTACTGTGCATTAACGTAGGTAAAAGATAAATATGTTATATATGTATATAAAAAGATATTTAGACGTGCCCAGTAAAATGATAAAATCTTATTTATGTTTGTTTTGTGACTTTCCATTATCGCGGCTAGTAAGTTTTTCGGTACTCGGAAGGTGATCAGCCGATTGTTATTATTACAAATTCTTATAAAAAGTTAAAATTAATGTTAAATTTAAAGTATTTGAATAAAAATAATTAATGAGCTTAATTTTAACTTATATTTTACTTTCTCAATTTGAAGATTATGGAAAAACTACTTTTGCAATTTTAATTTACTGCAAAAGATTCAAAAACAAATTTTTTCAAGTTTTATAATATGTATCATGTACTTAGTTACATCTGGTTACCCCTTTTATTACCAGAAGTATTTCATTGTAATATTGCAAACATTTTAATGTGGCAGTTAACGTCACAGTTAAAAATTCTTAAATAATGGCATCACCAAGAACCGAAATCCGTCAGTGGTTGTTCTGTTTTATTTTGATTTCATCTTCATATACTTTGCATTTGAAAGTAGTTAACATGAATGCATAAAAACGGAGTTTTTTAATGATTTTTAGAAAATCTGAAAGCAAAGTTAAATGATGACGTAAAGTCGAAAGGCAACATATATTCTGATTACAGTCTTGATGTATATTAGATTTTGAATGTAAATGATCAATATAAGGATGATATAGGATATAGAAGGCGATAGAAACAATTTCAATTGCTTTTTCATTTAATCATCATGTGTGTGATTAATGAATATATTAATCATTATAATTGTGTTATTAGATGGTGTGTATAGCCGTTAGTGTGATCAATGTAATAAGCTTACATGTATTTGGAAAACCAAGCTATCTTGGCATATAATTGCGTTGCCATTAAAATAATCTAGGAATCTTAATACGACTTCAAAAAATTTAGATTTTATATTATATAAAATGTTTCTAATATCTCATCCCTTACATTACAAATAACCTTGAAAAGGGAACGTACGAATTTCACAATTCACATACATTTCAAGTAAAAATTAATGTAGATAAAACTATATTAATCTATGAGAAATGCTATTTACACACCAACAAAGGTAACATTTTCGAGTAAAATATAAATAAATTAGATATGACAACAAAATATTTTGATTTTTATACCAAATTTTGCTATTACAAATGAGACTTGATTGAAATTTTGCATTTTGGCACATTAATCAGTAACAAGTATGATGTGTAATACTACGTTTACATTGTGAGATTAAGAGAAGCAGATTAAGTTAATCTGCATTTTTTATCTACTCTGTCTATATTACACATTGGAGATAAATTTTGACGTTTCTCTTATTATGGTTTGTTTGGTGTACTTGATAAATTTCTGTAAATAAAGCATTTAATTACAATTATGTACAAAACGAGGTTCATTTTTGTATGGGAAATCTGTAATTAAACAACTAAATTTGTACTTTAACCTCGATAATTGCTTTTTGATATTCTTATTGAGTATAGTTACTGTTTATTTACTCAAATTTAATTGGAAATTATTAATGGCAATACATTGTATTGCATTTATTGAAAAAATATCTATAATTGCAATAAATGTTGTAGATTAGACCGGTCGCTATATAATATGTTATGTATGACGAATTTATAAAAATAAATTTAGTGTAAGTTAATAAAAATTATATATGCAACTAAGAATTTATAATGCAAAAATTTAACGGAATAAAAATATATTAATTATATTTTAAAAAGAAATAAAAAGAATAGATGTTTAATATATAAATATTTTAATATTTTTTGATATTAATATTTATATTCCCTCCTTTTATTATACTCGTAGTAACTTTGAGTAACACTGTGTGTACACATATGTGTTCCACCAGCAAATTTTCGAGTAAATGAGAGCATCTGAGAGAGCGTAACATCCTTGTCGAAATTTGAAAATGCTACACAGACTTTACTCGTACATATTACTTCAAGTAAAATTTGTATTGATGTGTGAATCACATATTTTGGTTTGGATTTAAATTTTTATATTGTTTATTTGCGCGGCACTGATGTTCTTATCAGACTTCACATAAAACTGTTCTATTAAAATATGTGTAAATTGCGAAATTTGTCATTTTATTTGTGTTAAGCTCTGAGTTTACTTGTGTTTTACTACGAGTAGCTTGGGGAACACAGGGCTATTAAGATATTATCATATATTAGTTTTTAACTAACTGATCACATTGATATCAAATTTATGTTTTTTCGTGTATTATTTAATGCAATATATACAATTTTTTTTAAAAGTTTTCTGATTATATAATTATATATCTAGTACTATTATCATTTGTTACTTTTTGAGTACTTGACCACACTGATAGCACAGTTTGTGCTTCAATTGGTTTTAAAAGTTTTCAAATTATATTTTTACTTAATTATTAATGTATTATTATTATTTCTTATTTTTTAAGTAATTAACTATACTGATAGCATAGTTTGTGCTTTATTATATATATATTAAGTATGTTAGAGACGATACTACATGTATGCGAAACAATTATGCTGTTATGCTACCAAATCGCACTGTGTTTATTCAAGTATGTATACCAGATTTCAGTCTACAGACATGTATGAGAAAAAATAATATTATATATATTATATTGTATATATATTTTTTTTTAAAAATATGTATTATAATTATATATATTAATTATGTTTTGAAATGTATAGCAAAGCGCATACTTAATCTTCATATTTGGTGATATATACAATTTGTTTTAAAAGTTTTTGTGTTATAATTTTGATTAATAATTTTTATTATTATTTTATTAATATGATTTACTACTTTTTGAGTAATTAACAACACTCATGTACAGTTTGTATTTCAATATTTATGTTTAAAAAAAAGTGATATATTCAACTAGTTTTAAAAGTTTTTGAATCATAAAACAATTCATTATTATAATCCTATTATCATTTACTACTTTTTGAGTAACTGGCCACACTGGTTGCACAATTTGTGCTTCAGTTCATATTTATCAGCAGATCGTTGAATTGTATTTTGTTGTTGTTTTCAGTTTTGTTTTTGATCAACAGTGTGCGCTTAGTTTTATACTTTTAGGTATATAACATAATAAACATTATTTAATTGTGAATACAATGCATTTGTTTTTAGTTATATTGTCTCGAAATCTAAGAGAATCCGTTTAGTGCGCTATATAAATTGCTGATCGTGTTAATAAAATATTGTTAATGTCTATGACGTAAACCACCGTGTTTAAGTCAAAGGTAAGAACATATAATATAAGACTCATTACGTTAGCCTACCTAGCGCTTTCTCAGAATTTCTTAAATGTGGTTTATAATATGTGAGCAATACAAAAAATTTCATATTTAAAATAGAAACACAATTTTACATATATTATTATAATAAATTTATTATTTTATTTTATTTTTATAAAGTTATTAAATTGTTATTGGGCGTGGAATTATACCGCCAACAATGTAAATTGAACTTATATGTGCCCTTTCTCTTCGTACACAATGTAAACAAAAACATAAAATCTAGAGTGACTTTGTTCGAATAAAATAAAATGTGAAAAAAATAAAGATTTCATTATTATAGTCAATATAATATAAATCTGTTACAATCTCTTTTTTTTTTTATTTAATTAAAATACAAATTCGTATATATGTGAAGTGAATTGCATTTTTAATGGCAGAA